AAGTTTATTGTATTTTTAATGAATGTTACAATGTTTATCCAATATTTTATTTATTATATTGTTTTGAACTTTGCCGTAATGAAGCTTTTACTTACTTGGATTCTTAATGTATTGTATATATTTTTATGTATTGTTTTTCTTTCGAGGGCCTCTTCAAGTCAGCTGTACTACTGTAGTGCAGCTGTTAGAGCTACCCTCGTGAAATAAAGTTGAAATAAAATAAAATAAATAAAAATCTACAACAGTGAAATACTAACTTATACTAGTACCCAGAATTTAGTTAAACCTTCAAAAACCACATAAATACACACACTAACAAATAAAACATAGACATACGATATCCTTTAGTTTGCTCTCAGTATCATGGAACATCAGTGGGCCAAATTAAAGCAGTCCTTTTTTTAAGCGGACCGAAGATGGAGCAATTTTAAGCGCGTCTTCAAGTCGTTTAAGAATACGGTAGTGCTATTCGCTGATTGGTCAAAACGGGAAGGATATATCAAATGGATAACACAACGATCTGAGCCAGCAATGCTTTTATAAAGCGACTGATTTATTGAAATTGAAACATTCATTAATCAATTTCATCCTGTTCGTCAACGAAAAAGTACTGTAAGAACTAAACATGTCTGGACGTGGTAAAGGAGGCAAAGCTAAGGGAAAGTCCAAGAGCCGGTCAAGTCGTGCTGGACTTCAGTTTCCAGTCGGTCGTGTTCACCGATTTTTACGAAAGGGTAACTATGGATCCCGTGTTGGTGCAGGAGCACCAGTCTACATGGCTGCCGTGCTCGAGTACTTGACTGCTGAAATCTTGGAGTTGGCTGGCAACGCTGCTCGTGACAACAAGAAGAGCAGAATCATCCCCCGTCATCTTCAACTTGCCATCCGTAACGATGAAGAGTTAAACCGTCTCCTTGGCAGTGTAACGATTTCACAAGGAGGTGTATTACCAAATATCCAGGCTGTACTTCTACCAAAAAAGTCTCAAATCAAGAACAAATAGGTCGATAAATTTCTCAAACAGAAAGGCTCTTTTCAGAGCCACCAAATCATGAAAGAGATTTGAATGCGTGTCCTAGTTGTCTATTTTTTTGTCGTCTCGATATTCTTTGTTGTGTTAATATGAATAAATATTTAGATAACCTAGTAGCAATCAATATGAGAATCATAGCAATCAATATGAGAATCATAGCGAAGCAACAATTTCCAAATTGATTTTCCCCAAAGTTCTTTTAAAGCATATTCACAATGCTAGATACTGGACCAGGAATTTGCTATTTATGAAAACAGATAACTCCTGGCCTGGACAATATATTTATTCAACATCAATTGTATTCCTTTCTTACAATTGGTAACAGATAGACAGCATAACTTTTATTACGAATCCCATGTGACTGACTATGATAAAACCCCTTGATTGATTGGAATATTCAAAATTTGCAATTTTTGTCATTCAATTCTACAAGTAAAACGATGTTTATTTGATATGAATTGGTTGGTGTTATTACTAGCGAAGTTATGAATATTGTCCTCATATCAGCCATGCAGATTTTGAGTAAACAGCTTCTAGAGAAAATCAGTAGCACTAAGATATAGTTTCTCTAAAAATAATTTAATCATGTAATCATCAGTTAAAATTAGTGATTCTACCTGGCAGAAATGTTCTTCAATATCTTTTTTTTACTGTAAATACCTCAGATGGATGCAGATGTTCGAAGGTTTTGGGTGCTATCCAATGGCGTATCAACCAGTCGTGGCCCGGCACCATGCATGTTAGTAGTCGATTACGAGGTGCCTCTTCTCATTGGAATATCAAACCATACCTTAACCTGTTATATTAATATGATTTAATTCGAATTGTCTATTAGTTCTAGTACCCTTTTACATTTTTTAAAATTATATATTTGGATATAGCCTTGTATTCATAAGTATTCAAATTCATGGATCCGCCACTGTTTTGGTATATCAAAACCGTGCCATAACCTGTTATATTGATATAATTTAATTCAAATTTTCTGTGAATTTTAGTACTCTTCTACTTTTTCAAATTATATATTTGGGATGAAATAATCAATTTATAAACCAATGAAAACTAAGTTAAAGCTACAGAAGCCTTTTATATATCCTTTTATCACATAAATTCTAGTTTTACTCTATATACATAGGCCTACTGTATTTTACTATAACAATTTTCCTTTTTACTTGAAATGTTTAGAGGGTTGATAGGCCTAATAGAACACAGAGTATATATTTAGATAATTCCGAAGTAAAAATATTATGCGTGTTTTGTATTTTGTTTGAAAATGAGACCCTTAGGTGAGAAGAAAGTTATTAACGAGGTGGCCACAGCGCTTTCAGACGGTATAATGCGCTCTATAAATCGAACTACATTACTACATGGTAATTGTGCATACTTTGATTAATATCGAAGAATCAATATCTTTTAGTATTTTACTGACAATGGTAATTTTTTTTCAACCAAAATATGTTGTGATTGTCTATGTTACATGTGTTATTTAATTAGTTAATGAACATTAAATAGCGACAATTTAAAAATAATAACGATTGGCGCCAAAAAATGAATAGAACTCATTGCTTTTGCTGGGTGTTGTCCTTTTCTATTGTTATTTTGGGAACAAACAAAGAACAATTATCAATCGCGCGTTTTTAACAGCCAGTAGGAAGCGTTATGGTGATCGGTCTTATTCACAATGAATCCCTGATTAGCATATCAAACTCGATAAATAGCTCCGTGCTTTAATTTAGTTCATCAGTTATCTATTCGTAGAGTAAATCGAAAACATGCCTCCAAAAACTTCAGGAAAAGCTGTTAAGAAAGCCGGTAATGCTAAAGCCGTAAGAACTGGCGATAAGAAAAGGAAACGTAAACGAAAGGAGAGCTACAGCATCTACATCTACAAGGTGTTGAAGCAAGTTCACCCAGACACTGGTATCTCAAGCAGAGCCATGGGAATCATGAACAGCTTCGTCAACGATATCTTCGAACGTATTGCCGGTGAAGCATCTCGTCTTGCTCACTATAACAAGAAATCCACCATCACCAGCAGGGAAGTTCAGACCGCCGTTCGTCTCTTGCTGCCGGGTGAATTGGCCAAGCATGCCGTATCTGAAGGCACCAAGGCTGTCACCAAATACACCAGCTCTAAGTAATCATCTTTACTGCAGTTTCAAACCAAACGGTTCTTTTCAGAGCCACCAAAAGTACAAGAGAGATTTGTTGGTTTTCTGTCAAATTGTATACAATGAAAATGGTTAACACTAGAATAAGAGTACTTATATTGTTGTGTTGCCCTGGAAAAATGTTCTCAATAAATTTAACCTCAACTGTGTTAACAACATAGGCCTAGCCTATACAGTAATAAATAAAAGATAACAAGGATATACAACTACGAGCACCAAATAATATCTAGGCCTAGTCACAAGATGTACAAACAGAATATAAAACATTATTAACCAATTACACATTAAACTTAATTAAATTAGGTCGAAATTGCACTTAAAACCACAATTATCTATTAACATTATTATGAAGGTGAATGGAGTTGGGAACAAAAGAGTTTCTATAACGGCAACGTGTGGTGAGTTGTACCTGTATTTACTGGAACCTGTATACAGGCTTGTCTGCTTGGTCTCCTTTCGGAATTTGTCAGTTAAACACATATGATTTGATTTGAAATTCCAAGTACTGTATATTATTGAATTTCGTTGATAAACGATTCACTTACGTATAATTTGTTATGGTATAATATTTCTATCGATTATTATTTTTTAGGTTTAAGTTTCAATCTTAAATATTCATCTTTCAGGTGGGTGGTGTGTGTAAAAAATATTGCAAAAAATATTTTAAGCGCCCGGGCGCTTATTCGCGCGAGTACGGTATATTGCCTAACATGATTAGTTAATAATAAGGCCTGGTTGTTGCTGTAACTGCTGCTGTTATTTGCTTGTTTGTTGCCTGCATGGAGTTGATGCACAAGCGACACTTCATACTTAACATGCACAATCCTATATGCAACTATTGTACTCTAAATAGCTTAACTAAAAATAGAAACGCGGTGGGAAACATGAGTAATTTGCATATTATTTTTGTTTATTTCTTTTGCGCATAATGTATGCTTGGTTGGTCGCCGATGATATACACAACGCCAAATATGGAGTTGGAATTATGACGTATTTTACCTATAGGATATTTCGGTCTAATGACTGCGGGATTTATTTATAAAGCAGATTGTTCAGAAATAGTATTGCGGGGTAGAGGTTAGATAGTATAATATATGAACAATTTAGTTTATTTTTGCAAAGAAATTGAAAAATATTCCTTCGATGATAACGGCGGCGGAACGTTAGAAAGTGGGGCGTCGAATTTCAAGGTATTCCGGTGATGGCGCAAGCGAAGCGAGCATCTAGAGTGAAAGACAGCAACTGTCCCCGGTGGGGGTGCAGGAGCAAGCTGCGGATATTTGACGAATTATGGTGAATTCTATTAGTTATTTTATAGGATCACTCTAACTGTAATACAACTTCATAATTGTTGTAATGTCCGAACAAGGTCGCAGTCAAGATTCCACAATGAAAATAAAGTATTCCAGGAAATCCTGCATGAGGTTATCCTTAATGATAAGCTAACACAAATAGGAGGGGACCAATCCGGCCCAACCTCCCTTTCCCCTTTCTAAATGTTTCAAAAGTATTAAAAACATATGGAAACGTTATATTATTTGCTCTCCAAGATCGCCTTAACCATTGAAAACTGGATTTTTTTCACAAAAGTACATTTTCGGTACAAAATCTATGATTTTCTTGTAATGTCCCAAGCGGATTATGTTGTAAAAAATATTAATCTACCAATTCGTGAAGAAGAAATGAAAAAAATCCCTACAGTTTTGTCGGAAAACGCCGATATAACAGCTACTCACACCGATTTATATAGGGAAACGAGCTCGTTTCTTACTCCCTCACTCACAGACAATTTATTTGTTCGAGTTGGCCTAAGTGGATTCGTAGAGAGAATATAATAATTAAGCTTGTAGCTGATATAAAACTTAGTACTTTATGATTAATTGGGTAACTTTATCGGAAAATATGAAAATGTAAAAACCATCCAACTCACGATCAAGCGTGATAGTCCGATTCAATGGTATGACGTCATACTTCTGTTGGTTTGACTTGTGTTCGCAGTGTTTGACTTCTTTCTTCGTGCAATTTGTGTGCTTTTATTACCTTTATTAGAAAAAAATTGTCCTAAGACAAGATATTTACAGCAATTAGGCTATATTTCTGCAAAAAAAAAAAAAAGGCAATTTATTCTTGACCGTTCTGTAGGGGTGTAGCGTAGAGCTAAGCCAATCCCCCCAACACGAAAGCGTGGATTACGGAAAGAGAGATCTCAATATTGTTCACTTTATATTGTACTAAGTTTTAACAAAAGAATATTTACTGTGCAAATTGAATTTTGCTAGTATTTGAACCCATAATGAAAATGAAACAAACCCATGGCCAATGTTTTTAATTGGTCGATCCTAACTACCTGTACAGCAGGGTTGATTTGACCCCCGCTGCTTTCGTGATCATAGAGAAAATAGAACTGTTCTATTTCCTCTGTGGCTGAACTAGCAAGTAATAAAAAGTGGCAAAAACTTTTCCATATGTGAAAGAAAAAATGAATTACAGTATATTCAAATTCTGAGACTAAGAGTGCCATTTTCGGCCATCTAGAGGCGCCATAGTCATATCTTACCTCAGCAGCATCCACGGTGGAGCTGAGGTGGTCTGCTCCATCTGTGAAAGTGCCCCGCCCACCGTCCTTTTCAAATTCCTCGAGTTGCCACTTTTATTGTTAAATTAGATGAAATTAATTATATGACAATAGTTTGATGGAACTGTAAAGCCAATCATACATCTTCATATTTAACATGATAAGAACTAGAGCGTCACACATAGAATAGGCCTAGTATACGTATCTCCGGCCTGTGTCTATATTCAAAATTCACGCAAGGCGGGTGATTTTCATTGTTTTATTTATCCCTGAGGGTAAGTTTTAAGAAAACTTTACAGGCGCGCTTTACAGACGCGCTTTACAGACGCCAATCAACATGTGTACTCTCTCATTCCTCAACTAAAAAAAAAACATTATTGTATTTTGTATAATAATGACATTGTATAAGCGTTCGTTAACAATATGTGTCACTGGTGACTGAACAGTTGCCGTTGTTTCGATGAAGGCGTTATATAGCTTCCAATTATACCAAAATAAATTACAATATCTTTCAAACTCAGACCAAGAGGCCATAATGAGCTCCTTTACGCCCCCTTGGCATGGCTAAGGAGTTGGGGGGTGGTGTATTAGGAATTTTGTTGGGATTATGAAAGGTTTACATAATATGTTTTGTATGTGTTATGTGTTTTTTTATTCTGTTTCAGAATGCATATGTAATTATGCATGTTTTATAATATCGACATTGAGAATTGCTATATCTAGTACTTTACTGACAGGGCCTTTTTAAATAGAGATAGGCCCCTATTTTAAAAATGCATGCTTGCAGTCTTGTGTTGAGTCGAAATCATATCTTCCAGTCTTTCACAGTATAATTCTTACTGAAAACAGTGTACAAACGTAGTGTACCATATGCTCACGTATACGCGTATATACGACGACCCCGATTTTGAGAAGGCTTTCGGACGATTTTTGTATGTCGGGCGTTATAAGACGACCCCTCGTACTCACCGTCGGAATTCATACTTTTTGCTGCTTTTTATGGTCTTAATAGGCTACTGCATCTGGCTAAACACGGAGCCAAATGTAGGGCTAATATGTTCATAATACAGTAATACCACTTTGTGGGCTTTTAATGTTATTCAAAATCCTATTTCCCGTATTTCATTTAATATTTTAGGCCAGGTTCATTACAGTAGTAAAGACGAACATGATGATTGTAAAAACCTTAATGTTTGATGTCGCGCATATGACGGTCCCGGTTTTTTTTTAATCGTAATTTACTATTATAAGCCTCCGAGTCTCTGATGACAGCCTCAGCAGCAAAATTTAAACTTTTCGTACACAAAAATTTCAAAAATAATAATCGGAATACACTAACCATTTATGAAATGTATTTTCTTGTATTTTAAGATTATATTCCGATAGAATCTACAACAGTGAAATACAAACTTATACTAGTACCCAGAATTTAGTTAAACCTTCAAAATATTTAAATCTTTAAAAGAACCACATAAATACACACACTAACAAATAAAACATAGACATACGATATCCTTTAGTTTGCTCTCAGTATCATGGAACATCAGTGGGCCAAATTAAAGCAGTCCTTTTTTTAAGCGGACCGAAGATGGAGCAATTTTAAGCGCGTCTTCAGAGCCGTAGATAGAGAGAGTTTGGCCAACTCGGTTTCAATCACGTGACTTACACCGGCCATGTTGTCACCAAAACAAAACAACGCGATAGGGTAGGAAGTTAGCAGTAATTAATAATATTATAGATGATTAATGCTATAATTATAATGTGAAATACCGTTATGTTGGGTTTGGGGTTGCTGCAATCGATCCAACAAAGAAACAAAAATGTATTAATTTCCTTAAAATTCCAAAAAGGAGGAGGATTTGCATGGCGATCGAAAAATCTCGCTATCCACGGAGTAGACGTAAATTATAAGGCATGTACCGCCGCCCGCCCCACTTCGCGTAAGATATATCCACCTACTACTACTACTAGGCCTAGACAGGCCTAAATTTCGGTACTTCTTCGGCCGAACACCTTAAGATAGTACTTAAATCGGCTTAATTACGATGATAATAAAAAAAAAATGAAGGATTTTCAAGCAGCAATGATTTATAAAAAGACGCAATGTTGCACTTTGTTGTTAAATTATATAACTAAATTTCCAGAAAGCTACATGAAGAATCAAAGGTAACTTAAATTTTAATTAAAAATAAAATTTTAATCCTCCAATAAAAGCGAAAACTTGTCCAAGGAGTCCTGTGCTATGCAAACATGCCCAATTGTGCTTTACAAATCAATTAATTGTGCAACTAAAGATTTTAAAGATAAAAATATATTTTAAAGATATAGGCCTACCCAAATTGTAATGTAATAATAATATATTGATTGTTTTAATACATATTTTAAATCAAAACGTTTAAATGTTTTACAAATTACAAATCAAAATTTCAATGAATAGAAATAAATAATAATAATAATAATAATAATAATAATAATAATAATAATAATAATAATAATACATACAGTAATAATGATAATATTATAACTCACTAATATTATAAACAAAGTGTGGGGAATGCTGCTATTTTTACTTACAAGGCATAGCTTCTTGATTATGAATGATTAGGCATATGTTGTACAAAAATTTCTCTCAATGCAATAATTCTTCAACTTTGATTTATTGTTTAGATTACAATTTACAAATAGGCCTAGGCTATTTGTATTGGTTTGAAGATGACTAGCATATTATTTCATAAATTAAAGTTTACGAAGTCATAGGCCGGGCTAAAGGCCTAGATACAATTATAAAACTTTCATGTTATTAATATTTTTATCATTCATTTACAGGCGAAATTAACATATTATCGCCGACGATTCACAAACCTACTCTGTCTGCACAACCAACCTTTCTCCTCTGCAGTGTTGAC